ACATTAGTAGAGAAGAAAGGAAATATTCATGTTAAAGAAAATGCAAATTTATATAATTTTTATCTTGTTTTTCCTAGAATTATATCTTGTTTAGTTGAATATGTTAATCCATTTCTATACAATTTCCCATATTGAGTCTTAAGGGTGCGGGTGTGGATGTATGTATAGATTTCATTATTCCCTTAACCCACACTCACACCCTAGTTTTATTAGAAACATAATTTAGTCTTTTGCAAAATATTTAAGATTTTAGAAATCAATTCTACAACAAAAATAAAATATTCTATTTTAAAGTTAACGAATTGAATTTAAAACTTAAAAAATTATTATTTAATTTTCCAAAACATCTGGTAGTTAGAAGATTATTTAATCTCCATGAAAATATTTATACTTTTCAAAAAAAATATCCTATCTGTAAAAGATGAGTTTTATAAAAAAAATCTTCATATTGATTATTTTTTATTGCAAAACCTTTTCAAACTCACTATATTTGTTTAGATATAACAAAATTATGTTTAACACAATTTGATAATATCTATTGAATATATCGTTTTTATTTTCTTATTATATTTATAATTAACAATCGAAAAATAGATACAAACATTAAACTTCAAATTATTTATTTAATTATTAAAAAATTGTTGTATTTCAAAGAAAAGAAAAATTTATTAGAAATAAAAAATAGTCAAATACAAAAAAATTAAAAGCTTGATTATAATATTTTCTTTAATGTAAAAAAAGTAATTTATATTGAATCAAATTTATTCAGGGTCTTCACAAAGAAGTTGAGATACGGTAATATTTTTGCCACCTATAACAACAGATGAAAGAAAAACTGTGTCTGTAGGAGCGATCTGTGCAAGTTTAATTTTCGAAACCTCTTCATATAATTGACCACTAGCAAATCCACACAAACACGTACTATTTTGGTAACAAAAACCATCACATCCAGCTCGTAACTGACCAATCAACGTTTTATTCAACTTGTTCAATGGATATGGCAAGATCGAAGTATCAATCGTACGTGCTTTCTGACAATACTGTTTACATATGTCTGGTTCTTGTCCGTTTCCATATTTGCAGTAGTTGTCCAACTCCTCTTCTATTTTAAAATAAATATCAAAATAAAACATTCACCATAACAATGAATATTCTACTCACTTGTGTAATCGTCCTTACATCCTGAGGGTGCACCGAAACTAGACGGTAGCAATATAATATGTCCAGCGAAACACAAAGTTAACGCAAATGATATTTTATCCAGAATAACCATTCTTGATAAAAGAAATATATTCGTATATTTTTTATTGAAGGATTAATATAAATTGCTTCATACAAATCGATATGAAAATTTCTGTTTATATAGCATTATTTCATACTTAATGCTCCTAAATACAATGATAATATTTGTTTTTGTTCTTTCAGTGCAAAACAAAGAGCAAAGAATATTTAGTCATGACTCATTAATATTATTCATGCGTTGGATTTGTCTTCACATGATATAATCGTATAATAAAATACAGTACTCAGGTACAGAGAGCAAGAAATGATCTGCTATTATCACCATCTTTTGTTTTTCGTCTAGAAATATAAAAGAAAGAGTGAGTATTGTCTCATTATGAAGCAAAAAATAAGTATGAATCATGTTGAAATAAAACTAATGTGTGAATAAACATCATTTAGAACAAAACAAAACAAATTCGATTGATATTTACATTTATTTATCATAAATTATTATTATTCAAATAAAGAAATATTTCTCAAAATAAAACCTGAAAATAATCAGAATATAGATTTTCTTTTTTTTCTGGTATTATTCAATATTTTTATATTGACTTTAAATGTATTCATTTGTTAATTAACATAAAACAATTTTAGTCTCACAATGAGGTAGTAATTATTCTTTCTTTTGTGTTTGTAAAAGAAAAATAAAGGATCATGAATATACTTGATCACCTCTTTGACTCTTTCTCTTTCTATCTTATTACTATACTTTTATTATACGATTATATCATATGAAGAATATATAAATAGAGAACTTTTCGAAGCAACTTAAATTAAATAATCGATAGGGTGTGGGTGTGGGTGTGGGTGTGGGTGTGGGTGTGGGTGTGGGTGTGGGTGTGGATGTTTGTGTGGGTGTGGATGTCGGTGCGGATGTGGGTGTGGGTGTAGGTGTGGGTGCGGATGTGTATGTCGGTGCGGATGTGGATGTGGGTGTCGGTATTGTGTTTAACCCGCACTCTCAGCTACATCCTCACCAACACCCATACCTACACTTTCATTTTATGTTTTTTTGCTATAGTATATTGCTAACTCGGGCATATTTATGAGACGTATTCTGTTATCGCTTACAAGTAGAAAAGGGATTTTTTCAAGATGAATACTTTTATTGCCAATATAAAAGAAAATGAGTAGTTCTTATCAGCTTTGGATACTGACTGTGTTTGCCAATCTTCAAAGTCGCTATAATAAAACTTTAATCAGTTTTGCCTATAACTCGTGTATCGGTCGTCTTTTAGGCATTTTGTCGGTTCGCCGAAGAGAATCATCAGCAAAATATACATCAAAAAGGCAGAGTAACAAGTAATTTAAGAGCGTGTGTGTGTATGGGTGTGAGTGTAGATGTGAACAAGTGAGAATGGTAGGCGAATATAATATCTGCTCACATACCCACCCTCAAGTCCAACATATCTTACTATTTAAAGTATTATTTTGAAAAACCCCGACCGATTTCTCGGACTTACAGATGAAAGCAACCACCAAGTTAGCTTGCCTTTTTTACAATAAAGTGCCCTCTTTCCCGTGGTGTAAGTTTCTCTTCATTGCTATCAAGTTTAATGATTCGCCAATCATATAATCTTGTTAAACTGGGTTAGAAACTGTCAAAACTCCGATTATTTGAGGGTGTAGTGTGGTTGCAAAGTGGATGGAAATGGGTGTGAACGTGGGTATTTGAGACAGGCGGGTTTGTGTCTGGGTGTGAGGTGAATACAGTCTCGACAGCTACACACCCACCCATCCACCCACACCCACACCCACACCCACACCCACACCCACACCCACACCC